AGTTTTTCTTACACGACTCCTTACACGGTTGTTTTGGGGGCTCCTTTATGAGCACTAGTAAGGTCAACATTACTACTGTAGCTTTCTATATAAGGTAACATTAGGTTAATACAGGGATGAGAAAGCTGTGGTAACTATAAAATAACCACACACATTAATTACTGCCAGTTTTGGCAAAGTCTAATAAGTGGAGAAGCCTGCAGCTTTTCACTGTAAACTTTAGGTCAGTGGTTCCGTAACCTCAGGGTTCATATTTCTTAGTCAGTCATAAATAACCTAGGCTCTTTTATCTTCTTTGATTGAACTTATTTGCAATAAAAAATCAGGTTGTTTTAAAATAAAACAAAGAGTCTATACAAGCCTCATCAGGTTAAATGTTAACTTTCATGATGGTATAATTAGAAAAACACTGAACAAGTATGACTTGCTTTCAATATTTGCCTCTAAAAATAAGAAAAGCACAGCTTAGGTCTGAAAAGCTGCATCTGAACAAACCACAAGACTTCTGGAAATGTGTTGTTTAGACAGATGAGACCAAAGTGGAGACCAAAGTTTCACCATAATCAAAATGCTATGTGTGATAAAAACCAAGCACAGTTTATCAACACAAACACCTCATACCATCTGTCAAGCATGGTGCCGGTGATCATTTGAGCTTGTTCTGCAGCCACAGGACCTGGGGGCACCTAACATTCATTGAGTTAACCACAAACTTCTCTGTATACCAAAGTAATATAGAGTTAAATGCGGGACCGTTTGCCCAACAACTATAGCTTGGCCAACTTGTTTGTTGAAAAAAATTACTCTAACCAATCATTTTTAAAATGTATCAATTGACATTATAGGGTGCCGAGCTGTCATAGGAGCTATGCAGTCAGTAGGAATTAACAGCTGAAACTACAGCTCCCCTAGGCTTCAATTTACAGGCTTTACAGCAAGTTTAACTTTATTGTTTAGCTGTCGAGTCAACATTTCTATTGCTTAACTTTGTTTCTACTGCTCTCACAGCATTGTTTTCAGCTGAAGCACATCCCTGGATTTGACAAGAAAGCACTAAAAACCTTGTCAGCACCAAACAGCAGACATGTGGTTTGATGAACAAAGAGGAACATTTTCTTCTTGAGTGAGTGCAAACTAAAAACTAAACTAAAAGAGACTAAAAGTTGGGCTTACATTCACCAGATGATGCAACTTCAAATGATAAAGTTGCTCCATAAATTATGTCAAATGAATTAAATCATTAAATTAATCTGACTGGGTAGTTTAATGGGTATGATACAGTACATGATGTAAATACACCTTGTTTTGATTAGCCTTAAGTCTTCTAGATATACACAAAACAGTGCTTCAAAATAAAAGCCCTACAACTTTTTTAAATCTTGGAACTCATTTGAACCAAAACTCATGAGCCACTCACAATCTACTTTGGGTCCAGCAGTTAGGAAACAATTCTCTAGCATACTTCAGCAAAATTTTAGAACATTTCTGGTCAATGTATCCAAATCAGTGATACAGTTTGTACTGTGAATGTACTGTG